AATATATTTGCAAGCATTTAATATCTGCTAATTTAAAAATATAAGGTGCAATTTTTTCACTTTGTTTCTTTTTTAAAATACTTCTGATAGTACTATAATTCTTGGGTTCCATAGTATATCCAATGTAAATAAGTTTCATATTAACTATTTTTATATAGGGATAGTTCTATATATCACTTAAGATAAACAAACGGTAGGGTAGCATAGTGGAAATGTTACACTAATTTTTTATATTGTGCAATGTAGCTTTACAATACACGCCAAACATTCTGGCAATAAAAAGTAAGTGATGAACTGGATTTGAATTGGATCTGAACTTGATATCCAATTTAGATGGGTAACAATTATATACTGGTGAAGTTTCAGGAGTAATGGGTTCTGTATAACATTTCGTGTAACAACAAACTTCCACTATGCTCTTCTCATGCGGGAGTAGCAATCAATGACAAAAAGAATTATAAATAAATATTTCAAGTGCTTCGACGACGGTCATTTCGCAGAAAAATGCCAGGAACAAAGGAAAAGAAATGGACCATACTTTCAAAGAAGGTTACATAAAAGCATGGAATTATATGGAGTGAGCTGGTCTCGGTTGTCTATTCTGGTTGTCTCGTCTCGGTTGTCTCGGCAATGAATATTTTAGAAAAATTTAAAATTTTTTTTTAAATTTTATAACATCTGGAGACTTGGATGGCGTGTCATAATAGAAAACTTAATGGAATTCAGGAAGCCTTGGGTGACGATGTTAAAAATATAATTTTTTTTTTATCATTTAATCATTTAATGATGTTTTGGTGAATTGATTGTTGGGATAAATTATGTATTAGTAATTATATAACTAACTAGTATTGTTGCTCTATTGATGTATAAAAAATAGTCTTGGATTTTTTTAAAAAAATTTGTAATATTCTTGAAATAAATTGATTCATTTGAAAGCTAAACTTTCATCATTCATCAACCAAAAAAAATCGTATGTTGTTATTATGTAAACTTTAAAGATCGTTGGCAATTAACCATTCACATTAAAATTCTTTGATTTGATTAATTAACAAAATACTGGACCAATTGAAATAAAAACACCACTTTATTAGAAGGCTCTCAATTTCTGGAATTCTTGAATGATTTAAAATTCCACAACAAGGTAGAAACCTAAAGTGTATTATGACATAGAAATAACTAATAGTTACATATAAATTATTAAAGGCTCGTCACAATCTATTCTGAAAAATTTATGTGATCATTGTTTTGGAATTTTATAAAAAAAGGTATTGTCTAATGTAAAATCCTATATATAAAAAAAAGTTAATTCTATTAATAATAATTTATTACTATATCAAATGATGAAAATGGTAATGATGGTAACAAAATACCATGTAAATTCAATAATATTAATATACAAAAAACCAACATTTTTGCATCTATTGTCATCTCTCTTCTCCTTTTCCTGGTATCATTATAGTTGCTTGCTTATACTATTTAATTACATTTATCATTGTAGGAATAAAACATAAAAGAATTTTTAATGCCTATTTATAAACCATATTTATATAATATAATATTTTTTTAATATTATTGATTTTTTAAAATAAATGATTTTACTATAAAAGACATACCTAAGTGATCAGGAGTGCGTAAATGTTCATAATAATGTAATATTTGGACATTTATTTCTACTTTGTTTGTGGAAGAAGGCTTAATGTCAACGTGTAAAAATTTTTGATCTCGCGTAGCACGGCATGCGTGATCGTGTAACAGGTAAAAAAGCAAAACGCTCAAGTTGCGTTCTCAGCTGTAAACTTTTCTTAATTTCAAAAAAATGAATATTTCTCCTGATCCTAAAAGTATTATTAAAAAATTGGAAGCTTTGTCCAAAGACATTTCCTCAATTAACATTAGCGATCTGATAAATGTTTTTAAAACTATAATAATTAAAACTCAAACGAGCATTGAATACAGGTTAGTTGAATTTGCCATTTTTACAATAAATAATATTAATTGTTTTGTATTGTTTAGAAAAGAAATTGGAAAAAATGAAAATTTTTGGAGAGTAACTACAGAAATATTTTCATGGGCAATGAAAGAATTATCAACAAAAGAAGATTCTTTAATTTTACCATTAATCCTTCAATTAATACAAACATTTCGTAATGTCATTGCTCAAATACAAGAAAATCAAAATCAAGCATTGTACGTTTCAATCAAGCTATGGATTTAGATAGAATAAACCTTACTAATTTCACCATTATATCTCATTATTTATTTAGTAAACATGAATGGAATAAGAAAACCGAAGTTATTTTATGGCATGTTTCTTCAAAATTGAAACCTAACGGTGAACCTAATGAATGTTCGTGGTGACGATTTTTTAATTGTATTTTTTTATTTTTATTCTTTAGTGAAATTTAAAAATTTTCTTTCATAAATGATTTTTTAGTTCTTCTAATTATCAGAAGTGGGATACAAGCATTATCAAACATTATAACAGTTAATGATTATACTAAAAGATTGATTTTATCAGAATATATGAATAGAAATGAATCAAGAGACCTTTTAAGGTAAACCAAACAACTAGGGTATAATGAATTATTATTATTATTTGTTAATCATCATAATTTATTATTCTTTCTTTTAGTACGTTGGTGTCATTCGATGATACGATTTTATTGAAAAGTACATTGATATTTATTTATAATTGTATATTTAAGAATAAATTACTCAGGTAAAACCTTTTAAATACGAGTCTTATTATTATTATTCCCCCAAATATTTCTTTTCTAACTTTTTTTATTGTTATAATGATAATTAATAATTTCATCAGTGATATTTTTATGAAATCAAAAATAGGTATGAATTTGTTGAAAACTTTTTTGGAAAAAACAGATTCTCTTTTTAATTGTAATAGTGGCGAACAATTTGTGGAAATAGTGTTTGTATAAAATATATGCATACATATTGGCATTTAAAAAATTTTTTTTTGTATATTTATGCTAATTCATCATATCCAAATTTTACGTTTAGATATTCTATGGTATCAAATTTAATTAACTTTGGTTATTATCCAATCATGTTTGATTATTTAACGGATTCATCCAGGTAAAAATTTTTTTGACTTTTACTTGTATATACGTACAAGAAAATGAATCATTGTTAAAATTACTTTTTTAATATAGTCAGATTCCGTCAAAGAATCAATTAGTTTTAATTAAGTTTCTTGAGGCAATGTTTGACACAACATCAACAATTGTTTCAGAGAATATCAAAATTACTGAAGATGACGATTCAACAACAATAAATAATTTTTCAATTAATTCTTGTATATCTCTTGCGAAATCATTAAATAATATATCTCCAACAGTAATATCAATTCTGATATATAGTAGTAGTAGTAGCAATAATAATAATAATAATAATAATAATAATAGATCAGAAAAACCAACTTCATCATCACCACCAACAGTACCAGTAACAAGCAAACTTTATGATGATGATGGAATATCACATTTATTAAATGTATTGACTTTGATTTTACAATGTATTGCGGCTTTAACTTGTAAATGTGATAAACAATTACATGAATGTTTATTTAAGGAAAATGTTATCGAATGTTGTATAAGTAAGGATATGAATATTTCAATTTTTCTTTTGGAGAAATATTATATATTTAAAAAAAATCTCGTCTCTTGATCCTATTTTTTTTTTCAATCGTTGTATATAATAGATCTTTTAAATCAAGCCGATAAATCTATTCCACGTATAACGAAAGCAGCAACATCAAATAATGATCATTCAGAATTACGATCTTCACCTTCATCGCCACGATTAACAACATCATTGAATCCAAAAATATTTATGAATATTAAAAAAGATTTAGTTAATGTTATAAGTTATATGTCTTATGATAACATTAAAGTTCAAAATAAAGTATGTTGGTTATTTTTTTTTTTAATATACGAGCCCGTCGATCTTAATATTAATTAAAAATTTTTTTTTTGAATTGAATTTATTTAGGTACGTAAATTAGGTGGAATACAATTGATCCTAAATCAATGCAACATTGATGACAATAATCCATGTAAAGTATCTCTTTAATCATACAATCAGACCTCTATATAGATATAGTCACACTGTCGGGAACATAGTATTTTTTTTTTGAAACTATGCTTATAAAGAGTTTGACTATATGGAGGGGGATGATTTTCTATAAACTTGAAAGGTTTTTATATGATGTTCTTATGTAGAGAGAGGGCTCTCATATGGAGGTCTGGGTGTAATAATAATGTAATTATTATATGCAAATTCACTAATCATATTTTATAATTAGTTATTCGTGAACATTCTATATTTGCAATTCGTAACCTTCTTCATAATAATCTCGAGAATCAAAAACTTGTTCAAGAATTATCACCAATTGAAGTAATGCAACATCCTATACTATCAGACATAGGAGTTACGACAGAATTTGATACTAACAATAAAATTAAAATTAAATCATTGAAAAATGAAAAATAATAATTTTAATTATTAACTTTATATTTATTTTTTTTTTTAGCATAAATTCTTATTTATAAAGAGGAATATATATATAAAGGTATGAATGAAGTTTGATTATTATTACAGAATAATAATGAATTAAAAATACATATATATAATTTAAGTGTGGTGTGTATATATATATGTGTGTGGTGTGTGTATGTGTGTGTGTGTGTGTGTGTGTGTGTGTGTGTGTGTGTGTGTGTGCATATATGTATATATTTATATAAATGAATACGTGTTGTATATTTATAAAATGCGTGTTTATCTAATTCCAAAACAAAATCATTTATAATTAATATATGCTATATATTAATAATATATATATGATAATTTTTTTTTCAAAAACTTATATAATTACCTTTTAATAAATAAGATTAACAATAATAAATAACACGGCAATTATTTTAAATGGATGATAATGTTTTTTGTAATTCCAATGACTTAAAAAGTTCTACAATTTCAAGAAATGAATCACCAGTCGATCTTACTTGTGATTGATGTCCATTATTATTATTTGTATTTGATGATGACGATGATGACTTATTATTATTACTGAAAGATGTTGATGATAATGTTGATGTTGAAAATTGACCGCCGCCACCACCACCATTATTATTATTTGTAGAAGCTTCCTCATTAACCAATTGATTAAAGTGGACAAATTGTTGAAGAATATTAATAAGTGAGCCAAAAGAGCGATCTGGAAGTCTATGTAATTAATATATAAATATGACATCATATCCATTACGTTAAGGAATAATAAAATTTTAATTATTAAAATTATTTCATTCTTTGATTTTATTATAATTTAAATAAAAGGATATCAATTATCAGTAATTGGTTATTTTTGTTATCCTTGATCAATAGACCAAGTAATATTGCCATATAAGCTGCTGCAATGTTGCTATCAGTCTATACAATGATATACCAATAATATATTTAATAACAATGATAATTGGTCATTAATAATAGTTGAATAATTACCTCTTCTTCGCCTTTATGTATTTGGTAGTTATATAAATTTACTAAACATGTTAATGCTGATTCTCTAATAGGTATGAATTTGTTGAAAACTTTTTTGGAAAAAACAGATTCTCTTTTTAATTGTAATAGTGGCGAACAATTTGTGGAAATAGTGTTTGTATAAAATATATGCATACATATTGGCATTTAAAAAATTTTTTTTTGTATATTTATGCTAATTCATCATATCCAAATTTTACGTTTAGATATTCTATGGTATCAAATTTAATTAACTTTGGTTATTATCCAATCATGTTTGATTATTTAACGGATTCATCCAGGTAAAAATTTTTTTGACTTTTACTTGTATATACGTACAAGAAAATGAATCATTGTTAAAATTACTTTTTTAATATAGTCAGATTCCGTCAAAGAATCAATTAGTTTTAATTAAGTTTCTTGAGGCAATGTTTGACACAACATCAACAATTGTTTCAGAGAATATCAAAATTACTGAAGATGACGATTCAACAACAATAAATAATTTTTCAATTAATTCTTGTATATCTCTTGCGAAATCATTAAATAATATATCTCCAACAGTAATATCAATTCTGATATATAGTAGTAGTAGTAGCAATAATAATAATAATAATAATAATAATAATAGATCAGAAAAACCAACTTCATCATCACCACCAACAGTACCAGTAACAAGCAAACTTTATGATGATGATGGAATATCACATTTATTAAATGTATTGACTTTGATTTTACAATGTATTGCGGCTTTAACTTGTAAATGTGATAAACAATTACATGAATGTTTATTTAAGGAAAATGTTATCGAATGTTGTATAAGTAAGGATATGAATATTTCAATTTTTCTTTTGGAGAAATATTATATATTTAAAAAAAATCTCGTCTCTTGATCCTATTTTTTTTTTCAATCGTTGTATATAATAGATCTTTTAAATCAAGCCGATAAATCTATTCCACGTATAACGAAAGCAGCAACATCAAATAATGATCATTCAGAATTACGATCTTCACCTTCATCGCCACGATTAACAACATCATTGAATCCAAAAATATTTATGAATATTAAAAAAGATTTAGTTAATGTTATAAGTTATATGTCTTATGATAACATTAAAGTTCAAAATAAAGTATGTTGGTTATTTTTTTTTTTAATATACGAGCCCGTCGATCTTAATATTAATTAAAAATTTTTTTTTTGAATTGAATTTATTTAGGTACGTAAATTAGGTGGAATACAATTGATCCTAAATCAATGCAACATTGATGACAATAATCCATGTAAAGTATCTCTTTAATCATACAATCAGACCTCTATATAGATATAGTCACACTGTCGGGAACATAGTATTTTTTTTTTGAAACTATGCTTATAAAGAGTTTGACTATATGGAGGGGGATGATTTTCTATAAACTTGAAAGGTTTTTATATGATGTTCTTATGTAGAGAGAGGGCTCTCATATGGAGGTCTGGGTGTAATAATAATGTAATTATTATATGCAAATTCACTAATCATATTTTATAATTAGTTATTCGTGAACATTCTATATTTGCAATTCGTAACCTTCTTCATAATAATCTCGAGAATCAAAAACTTGTTCAAGAATTATCACCAATTGAAGTAATGCAACATCCTATACTATCAGACATAGGAGTTACGACAGAATTTGATACTAACAATAAAATTAAAATTAAATCATTGAAAAATGAAAAATAATAATTTTAATTATTAACTTTATATTTATTTTTTTTTTTAGCATAAATTCTTATTTATAAAGAGGAATATATATATAAAGGTATGAATGAAGTTTGATTATTATTACAGAATAATAATGAATTAAAAATACATATATATAATTTAAGTGTGGTGTGTATATATATATGTGTGTGGTGTGTGTATGTGTGTGTGTGTGTGTGTGTGTGTGTGTGTGTGTGTGTGTGTGTGCATATATGTATATATTTATATAAATGAATACGTGTTGTATATTTATAAAATGCGTGTTTATCTAATTCCAAAACAAAATCATTTATAATTAATATATGCTATATATTAATAATATATATATGATAATTTTTTTTTCAAAAACTTATATAATTACCTTTTAATAAATAAGATTAACAATAATAAATAACACGGCAATTATTTTAAATGGATGATAATGTTTTTTGTAATTCCAATGACTTAAAAAGTTCTACAATTTCAAGAAATGAATCACCAGTCGATCTTACTTGTGATTGATGTCCATTATTATTATTTGTATTTGATGATGACGATGATGACTTATTATTATTACTGAAAGATGTTGATGATAATGTTGATGTTGAAAATTGACCGCCGCCACCACCACCATTATTATTATTTGTAGAAGCTTCCTCATTAACCAATTGATTAAAGTGGACAAATTGTTGAAGAATATTAATAAGTGAGCCAAAAGAGCGATCTGGAAGTCTATGTAATTAATATATAAATATGACATCATATCCATTACGTTAAGGAATAATAAAATTTTAATTATTAAAATTATTTCATTCTTTGATTTTATTATAATTTAAATAAAAGGATATCAATTATCAGTAATTGGTTATTTTTGTTATCCTTGATCAATAGACCAAGTAATATTGCCATATAAGCTGCTGCAATGTTGCTATCAGTCTATACAATGATATACCAATAATATATTTAATAACAATGATAATTGGTCATTAATAATAGTTGAATAATTACCTCTTCTTCGCCTTTATGTATTTGGTAGTTATATAAATTTACTAAACATGTTAATGCTGATTCTCTAGAGAAACATTTACATGTACGAAGACATTTATAAGATCCGGAACATTGTGGATTTTGTTCTGTAACAACAACAACAACAACAACAATAATAATCAACATCGTTAATTTAGATAAAAATTTTTTTTTTGCAAAAAAAAAAAAAAAATACTACACACCAACTTTACTGAATACATTTTGATTGTTAGGATCCATTTCAACCAAATTAATAAGCAAGCCAATACTGAGTAACAATACATCAAAATTATCAACTAATTTCTCGCTATTTATCTGAACAGATTTATTTTTGTTGTTGTCGTCGTTGTTTTTGTTGTTGTTGTTACTGCTGCGGTTGTTGTTTTGTTTTTGTCGTCGTCCCTCTTCAATCAATTTATCATAATTTGAAATTTGACCAACAATGGCTAATCTCATCAAAATTGAAATTCCATCAAATCCTCCAATATATTGACAACATGATTGATTATCATTTGTAAGATTAATTAATACTCGAAGACTACCAAGTAAGCATTCCATGGCTACATGAATGAATTTAAGAAATTAATTAAACAAAAAAACTTTAACACAAAAATCATAGAATGATTTTATACCATTGTTATTACCTGATGATAATACTTGTGAATTTATATTAAAAGCTTCTACATGACAATACAATAAAAATTCTAAAAGCATCTTCAAAAATTCTTTATTTTCTTCAACAATATGCATTTGGTTTTCGGTACAAAATAAAGTTGCATTCTCTAGAATTTTCAAACAATGAATTATTTGCCTAAAATTCAATTTAATCTTTGATGTAGAAGGCTAATAAAATTTAAATATGTGTAAAAAGAAAGGATATTAATATATTTATGCAAAAAAAATTTTATTTAAAATACAAAATTTACCTTATTCTTTTTGATATTGATCAATAAGACACTAACTAATTCAAACTCTAATTTCAAAGCATTTATAACAAACGATAATCCTCCAGAAACCCTTAATTTCCTTTTTATTAGTGATTCATTACGTGTTCTAGATGAAGTGATTGATGATAGAGTTCGAAGTGCTATTGCTTTAAGTGAGATCTGTTTTACATGTAAAAATTTTTTGCATATTTTTTTACATAATCACAATTACATTAATATCTACACAAATATTTACACAACACATCTATTATATTAATAAACAAAAAAAATACCTGCGATTTATCTGTGAAAATATTTGATTGAAAGATAATATCTCTTAGATCATTGACCTAAAAATTCAATAATTGTCAATCTCAATCAAAAAAAAAACAATAATCATTTAAAAAAAGAATGACATACCAGCTTCTTTTCATATTTTTCTAACGAACGATTATTATTATCAATAAAAGGGTCATACGAAACGTCAATTGAGTTTATAATCATTTCTAATAAACCATGTTCAAGTAACAAAAACTCCGAGTTATGTTTATCCTCCATGAATAAGCAAATAATAAACAAAAGGCAACATTTTATAAACTGTAAATAACAATTTTAAAAAGTAAGTATTTTGATTTTAAGTGTTTGTTTAATGTAATAATAAATGATAGAAGAATATGACAAAAGACTTACAGTATCTTTGTGCGCAATTAGATTTGAATAGATTTTTGGGATGTAATTGTGAGCACGGATTTTAAGAAGAAACTCCTTATTTAATAATTTTTGTGCTAATTCCATACCACTTTCAAAAAAAGCAAAAACATTTTACATAAATATTAAAAATTTTATCTCTTTTTTGTTTTTCTCTCATATATGCATACATATATGTATTTATACCTAGTTCTGCGCACATTCAATGGTTGGCTTGATCGTAAACCATCAAGAATATAATTCATTTCATCGGTGAATCTAGAATTTTCGCCCACTTCGCGAAGAACATGTGAAGTTTTTGCTTCTTTCTGATTATTATTAGATATCTAAATATGGAATATATATGTATAATATCATGTAATTTATTATTATTATTATTATTAAAATATTTGAAAAATTAAAATATCTAACCAAATTATCTTCTTCTTCCTCTTCTTGTACGCTAAATTTGGATTTTGGAGGAGGATCATAAAAATCCATAAGCATCATATCGTTGCTTCTACCTAATATAGTACGTCCTTGACCATAAGTTTTTAATCCACTAATTACAACATTGCTGCTGCTATTATGCATATTAATATTATTATCACATGATGATGATGATGACGATAATGACGATAATGGCGGTGAAGAAGAACTTGTAAATTCCATCATAGTATTACTATTGTTATTATTAGTGGACGTGATAATCATAGCTTTCGTTGAGGACAACCCAAGTGATGATGATGGTGGTAACGATAAATCAAGATCGCATTTTAAATTTAAATCCAAGATTGAATTATTATCTGAATAGTGGTTATGTAGCTTCAAGCCAGTTGTAGTTGTTGATGTTGATCTAGTACATATTGTTGGTGATGATGATGATGAATTGATGCAAGGACGAAAATATGATGATGACGTTGATGGTGATGATAAATATTTATTTTGTTTTGGTGAGGTTGCTGTAGGCTTGGACATTTTAGCAACCAAGTTTTGTTTACGAGAGCCAGGTGATGATGGCGATAAACTTTGTGATGTGGTAGTGGTGCTTACTACATTAACGGTATCAATTTTTTCTTCTTGATAATAAGGAAAAATGGATAAGGGGGAAGAAACGCATTTTGTTGTTGACATAGTTGTAGTTGTTTTAGGAGCTTTAGATAAAAAGGGTTTGTTAAATTGTTGTTGTTTTGTAGGTGATTTATTTTTTGAGGAAAGTTTATTGCTAACATCATTAACAATGGTAGTTTTTGGATTTATTTTTTCAGTTAATTTGGATGTATTCATGGATTTTTTATTTAATCTTTTTATCGGTGATTCGGTGGTAATCATTAAAGAATTTAACGATTTTCTTCTTCTACTATTACTATTATTATTACTATTAGTTTTAGTTTTCAATGACTTATTAACATTGTCATCAGACTCAGGAAAATCGAAAATATCTGATTCGTTTTTTTTCAATATATTATTTTTGTTATTATTATTATTATTTTCATTTATGCTGGATTTATTTTGTGTTTTTTTCGAGCCGCGTAAACTGTAAACTGAGGTCATAATGTATATTATGTTATATAATTCCAAAATTTTTTGATTTATTGTGCAAGTGTGTATTAGTATATTAAAAAGTATTTTTTTTCAATTGCAGATTGTCGTACAAAATTTACGTGTAACATCCATGAAAACTTTTGACGATCCTTCAATTTTTTATTGGGGACGTACTTCCAGATATTCGAAGCTGTATATCTCCTTATATCCGTTCTATGTAGTACGACTAGAAACTGTTTCAGAAGTAGCAACGCGTTCCAGTTAAAACAAGCTCTATAAATAATTATTTCAATCCAATTAGTTAGTATTAAAACATAATTCTTTTTACGCGGGTCCAAAAGGTAAATTTCTTATATAGACATTTTTTTGATAGGCATTTTTTATTTAAAATATCCAAAAAATCTTTTATTTTTATATTAGAAATTTTCTTATGAGAAATCTCCTAAATGTTTAAGAAATGATTAAGAAAAAAGAATGAATTTTCTAGATATTTTTCAGTAGACATTTTTTTATATTAATTTTTTAGATATTTCTAAGCATTTTTTTAGTAGGTGCTTTTTATAATAAAATTTTATTAATTATATGAATAAATAAGTAAACTTTTTTTTTATAAGGGTGATCGTCTTTTTTACATGTCGCGCGCGTAATCATTTCATCTTATAATATTTTAAAATGTCAGGACGAGGAAAGACAGTGATAAATATTACAATTCTCGAAGTTATTGAAACAGTACAAAATAAGTTGAATACAAGTTTGACTCCAATAAATACATTAACTGTAGAAATCGCGAAAATTAAACAAGATCTTAAAAATCTTCAACAAGTGAATAAAGTGAATAACGAAATTAATATGTTTATGCAGCAAAATAATACTGATATATTAAAAAATTATTATTTATTGAAAAGGAAATGTCTATTTTCATCAATGTTAGAAGAGAATTTCGAAGAATTTAAAGTACTACATTAATGTTAAAGAAAGTACAACTGAAATAATGGATAATAATGAGGCGTCAACTTAAGCAATGCAAAGTTTTTAAAAAATAAAAAAAAACTGGTATTCAGGCTTTAAATAAAACATCAAAAATTAGCAAAACTCATCTTATTTTATTAATGAGTGAGTCTTAATGTAAAAAGATATAAAGAAGGAAAATCTTGAAATAATATTGAAAGTGATTTTCTTTTTAACGTTAATCAGTCTGTAACAGTATCACAAAATCAAGAGATATTAGATAATCATATTAATGAATATGTAAAAACTTATGAATCTCAAAAAAGAAACCATAGGTAAGATTTTTTAATTTAAAGGAGAATCTAAACATAATGGGCCATTATTATTATATCATAGGTTACTAGAATTAGAATTTAAGATCAGATCCTATTAAATTGCAATCTGTTTTGAATCAGGTCGGATCTGATTGGATCAAAACTAGATCAGATCAGATAAAAATTCTTAATTCGTCATTTCTTTCATAAATGATTTTTTATAAATTTTATTATTATTATATATACATAATATCTCAGATCGGATCAGATTTCAGATCAGATCAGATTCAGTATTAAAGAACCAGATCGGATCGGATCCAATATTTTAAAAAACCAGATCAGATCAGATCAGCTTAAACAGATTTCAGATCAGAATCGAATATTTTATAAAATTTCTAGTGGATTTTCAGGCTTAACTGCAGATCATGGAAAATATGTTGCAATTTTTCATTGATGCTTTAAATTTGTGGTATAAACAAATTATTTCAATAGATGATACAGAAATAGGAAACTATAACTATTAATGCACACATGCATATCCATTTAAAAGATTGTATATTGGATTATGGTCCTTTTTACGGTTTTTGGTGTTATGCATATGAACATATGAATGGTAAATATTATAATTTATTTTTTTAATTTTAATATTAATAGCTTTTTATTTTATTTTATTTAAAATTAGAATTTTAGGAGAAATACGAAAATCTGGACATACAATTGAAGTTGGAGTAATTAAATTTATTAACTGAATAGCAAAATACATTTATTATGCAAATGAGCAGATACAATTTTGCCAAAAAGTTTTGCAACATCAGTTAAATCACTTTTAAGTCATAAAGAAAATAATAAAGGAACTGTTGGATATTATGGATTTTCAATTGGGAATTCTTCAAGCTATCATTGAAATTTGATTTTAGAAAAATAATTGGTACAGAACCAATTCCTTGTGAACTTTTCCCACCTCTTACTATGTGTCATTTAGAATCAGAATTAATATCACGTTTGGTTTCTTTTTATAATGATATATATTTAGAAAAAGGGGTAATTTTTTATTCTGGAAAACAAAATCACACAGAACTTAATCAAGTTCATGTAAATTCTTTAATTATAAAAGAAAATTTCGAAATGTTTTCATCAGTAGGTTGTAAATCAGATCTTAATGCTAATATTATTGCACAATTTTTAACTGAGAACAAAGAAGTTGTTTGTTATCCAGGAGTAGTTAATTATTATTTTAAGCATTCTGTAAAGCTTCCTTGGGGGGGGGGGTAACAGAACATATTCATTGCTATATTAGTTAGTTTAAATCACATAAAGAGAAACATTGGTTCCATATAGAATCAGAATTACAGGAAAAAAAATGCATAATGTAGAACTTTGGGGACAGTTAGATAAAACATTAACTTAAGAAAGCATTCTTCCAGTACAAAGAATTTTTAGTAAATTTGTAAAAGGAAGTTATACTTTTCCTGGACATAAAATTCCTTCTACTGTGGTAATTCCTTTAAATAGAAAGTTTTAATCTTTAATAAAATGAATTATTGTTATATATGCGCTATAATTAAATAGTATATTTTGCTATTAATGTTTTTAAATAAGGATTTTATAATAAAAAGTACATGCTTAAAAAATCTTTATTTTTTATATAAAAAAATGCTTACTGAAAAAATACATTCTTTTTTCTTAATCATTTCTTTGATTTCTCATAAGAAAATTTCAAATATAAAACAAAAGATATTTCTAAAGGTTTATTTATAAAAAATGTCTATCAAAAAATATCCAAGAAATTCACCAAATTTCTTAGATATTTATAAAAAAATTTCCAAGAAATTTACTTTTTGGACCCGTGCCAATTATACGACAACAACGATTTCAAAGCCTACAACTCTTGTATTTTCTGGTATTCAACCTACTGGTATTCCACATATAGGAAACTATCTCGGAGCAATTTCAAATTGGGTCTCTTTACAAGAGAGCCCTAAAGCCACAGCAAAAAACCCAACGATCACTACCACCAATGATAATAATGATACGATTACGAATTCTCAGCAGACAATGTATTCAATTGTTGATTTACATGCTTTAACGCTACCACAAGTTCCAAAACAATTAAGGAAGAATAAAATTGAAATGACAATTGCATTATTGGCATGTGGAATTGATCCAAAAAAATGCATATTGTTTGAACAATCACGAGTGGCCGCGCATGTTGAATTATCTTGGATATTTAATTGTATTACTTCTGTTGGATGGTTATCGAGAATGACTCAATGGAAGGTATTAATGATATTATTATTAACTAAGAAAAGTGTATGTAATCATTAATAATAATGATTTAATATTAGTCCAAAATGGAATCAAACAAAAATTTTCAATCAATAAATGAAGACGTTGTTTTTTCACCCGGTTTATGCTTGGGATTATTTTCATACCCAGTACTACAAGCAGCAGATATTTTAATTTACAAGTATGTTTATAGTTCAAAAAAAAATTTTTTTTTTGGTTTTTTCTCTAATATATCTTATATATTTTTAAGAGCTACACATGTACCAATTGGAGAAGATCAAGTTCAACATTTAGAATTGACAAGAGATATTGCACAAAAATTTAATAAAATGTATAAAACAAATATATTACCATTACCACAACCTATTATCAGTAAGTAATATCTATACACACACACACGCATACATTCATATATATACATGCATGCATACATATATGTGTTTTATTAGAAGACAATAAAATTATTCAAATTATATTGAAAACAAAAATTCTCCAATTTAAGCATCAGCCAAAAAAATAATGTCACTTCGTGATCCTACAAAAAAAATGTCCAAATCAGATTTATTAGATCAATCACGGATCAATTTAAATGATTCAGCTACAACAATTTCCTCAAAGATTAGAAAATCTGTTACAGATACCACACAAGGAATAACATTCGAACCAACAACTAGACCTGGCATATCCAATCTTGTAAGTATTTTTGCTGCAATAAAAGGATCAAGTGTAGAACAAATTGTTGAAGAATTTAGAACAAGTGACACCAAAACATTTAAAGATGCTTTAGCCGACACATTGATCGAAAGATTAGTTCCAATTCAAAAAGAGATTGAACATTTAAAACTTGATGAAAGTTACATCCAACAGGTATTGAAAGATGGAGCTGACAGAGCTTTCGAAATTGCAGAAAAAAATAAAAAAGAAATCTATAGACATGTTGGATTGATAAATTAAGTAATTTATATATTTATATATATTCATGCATACCTGTACCTTTCTCAGAAATAACAATAAAAGAAATTTTTTCTTGGAAATGTTAAGATTAAATTAATGTACTTTTTTGTCCTCTAATAACAGTAATTAAATTAGATTACATTTTTGAAAAAATAAAGTTGCACGAATTTAAATATGTATGAGATTCTATGTCATGATATCTTTCTAAATAAGACCCATAAGTACTATATTCAATAATATTAGCAGCCACGTAAGATCAGTTAAAGGTAATAAAATTTATACATAACTTTATTGTCTATTGGATTTGAGAAATTTATATGAAGAGAGGAAATTATCAAAATCAGAGAGCATACAGAAACAAGGTAAATTTCAGGAAAATTAATTTAATGCCAGTAACGTGTCATATCTTTACTTTTAGATTTTCTTCTTTATCTGTTAATTGCTTCTTTAAATTTTCATTTTCTTCTAATAGTTGTTTATTACTTTCTTGGAGTTCACTTATAATGTTTGTCATGACTTTCTTTTTTATTTATTTATTCTTTTATAAGGACATATTAATATTAAGTGTATAAATTATTTTAGCACTTTTTTACTTTAAAGGTGGAAAAAGCTAACAATATTTGTCAAAAGATTAAATTGATTAAACTTAATGACAGTAAAGGCAAATTAATTAGTGATGGAGATGATTTTATTCTAGATATTTTATTTGTTACCAATACAGAATGGTCTTGGACAAGTAATATCTTTGTATTCATCTTTCACAAATGGGTGAATATTATTATAAAGGTATTCTTGTCTTTTGTAATCCAAAGGAGGTGATGTTAACACTAAAATAGATAAAGCTCTAATTTCTTCAAAAATATCTGCTTTCTTGGCTTTCAATAAATTGAATTCAACAAAAGGTCCATTAGCAACTTCTTGAACTTTGATCACACCAAGGTTAGATGCTTCAAAAAGAAAATGTTGGTGTTTCTGGATACTTGGTAATTCCTTAAAATAATTCCCAAAATAGCTTTAATATCTAAGTATTGAAACCCTTTTCCACCATCATAACATTGGGCTTTATTCAATCCTGCTGGACTAGACTTTTTTATTACCTCAACCATATGACCCAGACAATCTACCCTTGTTTTTCTGTAGAGTTTTTTTATTAAACCAAAATTACCATCACATTTAAATTTGGTATGTCCTGGAATCATGAAATTCTATTCAATACTTTCATAATATCCACAAATTACTAAATATAAATAAAATCAAATAGTAGTGTTATTTTTATTCTGTCCACCAGCATTATCACAAGTAATCTTTAAATGCTTTTCACCTTTATTCAATTTCTTAATTCCATCAAAAATCATGCTAA